GATCTCCCCCCGACCACTATACTTCTCTCGCTGCACCGGCGGCCCTCCCCATCACCCTTGTCGCCTCCCACGACGCCCTCACCTATGCGCGTGTCGCTGCCCCAACGAAGCCCTCGCCAGCACGCTCCTGGCCTCCCTCCCTGCTCCCCCCATGGCACACCATAAGCGCACACGAGGGGCGGCATCAACTTCCCCCCATGGCAGACCAGGAGCAGCCCCTCCCTCGACTACGCCGCGGCATTGAGAGCCGGGGCCTTCGGAGCTGGGGGAGCCGAGCTCCGCGGCGGGCGGCGGGGAGGCGCGGGTGATGTGGGACGACCCCGTGGTAGCGGAGACGGGGGAGGCGCCCAACGCAGTGGCGCATCCGTTCGACCCCAAGCTGGTGTCCAGCAGCCGCCGGCAAGCAGGTGATGGCCTCTGCGACGTGTTGTTGTTGTTTCTTGGAGTTCTTGGAGTCTCTAGAGTGCGTTCTTGAGCTTTTGGCCTTTTGGGAACTGCTGGACACTACAACGCCACGGCCACAACAGAGCGAGCCGCACGAATCGATTCACCACAGTGAGGCATAGACCGAAACCTAGCTTGCTTCGTCGATTCGCGGCGGCGGGGATGGCGACCGGCGTGGGGCCGTGGGCTTGTGTCGACCGGCGCTGCTGCTGCGCTGCTAGCGGGTGGCCGGTCGGGCGGTCGGCGGTCATCCTCACATCCTGTTGGAGGCTTGGAGATCTCACCTCTGACTCGAGGTCTGAGCCTCTCGGCCTCTCGCCTCTTTATGTTGATAACCGGAGTAGTCCTACTGTAAATTGAGCTAGCTCTAGTGTTAATGTGTATGTATATTACTGGTTGCTCTTGTTGCGCTGTCAGGTGAAAGCAGTTCTCCTGTAATCCCGAGTTTCGGTCATATGGTTCTGAACTTCTGATATTAGCATATATGCTTTCTTTTAAACTGGGTGGATGTTGGTTGGCATATAGTATGAGTAGTTCTTATCTTCCTTTTAAATTCCTTTGAAGTGGTGCTTTGTACTGACTAATGATGATACTAGTTATTTGCTACTGCTCCTAATGCTCTAGTAGAAGAGGCTACTGAAGGGCACACCCAAGAACAGGGGGCTGCTCCAGAACAAGAAGCATGTGCAAGTCTAGTGTAGACAAACAAGGTAATTACCATGTATATTTTCGACATTTTCATAGCTTTTACAATATGTGAATTTGCAATGTTTGCATTACACTTAAATTGTGAGCTTTGCGCAGATTTGTTTTTAGTGGCACCCCCCATAGTGTAATCCTAGATCCGCCACTGTACAGAGTGATTTGACATGCCGCCTGAAAGTACTAGTTGTGAATATTGGATATCTGTAGCATTACATTTTGAACCTAATTTTGGTCTGCTAACTCTAGCTTGCTTTTCCATGTTAATCAGAATGTGGCGAATTTTTGTAATAAAAAACATGTCACTCCTTGAGTGACAGCTTTTATGGGGTGTAGAAAAGAATGACTTTAAAGAAAATGTACTTTGTGGATGTTCTATATGTCGTGGAACTTTGACCCTGCCATTTTTTTGACATGGTATCTTGGAGTGTCTATTTTGTACATATAATATATTGTACGATTCTACAACTGTTATTAGTAATTCTGTTATAGAGTATCTTGGTGTATTCGAGGGCGGTTTTGAAATCCTATTGAGAATATTTTTCAAGGAACTCGAGGCGAATGTCTCGGTTTCGAAGAAGCAGAAAATGAAGAAGTAACTTGTCTAACCATTTGATTTGTCTTGGTTTGCTTGACTCTAATTGTGTAGGTTTTGCATCAATTCATTTGGATCCAATGTTGCCTCGTGTAAAGAATAAACCATGTATCTTGCTTCAGCTTTTATTTTTGAACTAGGACAAAATTTTCTAAGAGAACTTCCACATTCACTCATGGCAATGTATGATAATAAAGTATGTTGTATCATTGGTTTCAGACATCTGGACGAGAAGAAAAAGAACTGCAAGGCTGGTAAGGTCGAGACTCATCTTGAATTCCCTGGATGTGAAAAGGTTAAATTTGGTGAAGTTGTCAAAGCTCCACCAAAGTTATCATTCCCAAAGGTGCCTTCTCTACTCAAAACTTTTTATGTTATTAGATTTGGTCGGATTCATATGAAGGGTTGACTGAACTTTTGAAGGACGCCCCATATGCTTCAGTGCTTGTATGTTTGTCTTAAATTCTTATGGTCTGATCTCTGCCAATATGAATTTGATTGTTGGAATTTGTTGTTACCAAATAGATCACTTTTGAGCCATTTAGAAATGAGAAGTAGACTTCTTGTAAATGTTAATTTGGTGTACAGGATTTGACAAAAAAATGTTATATGATGATTGAATGATATTTTTAACAACCAAAGTGATGTTTGACATTGAGCTTTCTTATTCTTGCAGTACACTGTTAATAGTACTATTTCGTTGAACTGATGCAATTTGCGTACTAACAAGTTTTCACTTTCCCGACACGGGCGTAGAGGTGATCGACAGGTGATCGACGCTGACAAGCGCGGCCCGGTGGCGCTGTGCTCTTCAACCAGTTAGAGGTGGACTTCACCGTGAAGCCCGATGGCCACGTCGCACAGATGATCGTCCAGGTGATTTCGACGCCGGAGGTCGCCGATGTGGAGGACCTTGACGCCACCGTCCGCGAGAGGGAGTATTCGTGTCCAGCGGCGTCTGAACTCCTAGCCTTGTGGATACATCTAGAGAGGTGGTCTGTTTAGGTTGGTCATAGGGAAGGTACCCACCTTATGATGATGGTTGTGTGTGTCTGATGTTAAATGAAAGCTTGAGATGGTTCTGTGAGTTGGTTTGGTTTGCACTGGACGTATTACCATTCATGAGTACTACATCTTATTTTTATTTTTTTAATTCCTAAATTGTTAGTAGTAGCGTGGGTCAAAAGTGAGGTCTACTAGTAGTTAGGTTAGTAGTAGCGTGGGTTTTAGGTTAGTAGTAGCGCGGGTGCACACGCGCTATTACTAACTTTTTAGCTGTAGCGTGGGGTAAAAAATGCGCTACTGCTAAAAATTAGCTGTAGCGCCGTAGCAGTAGCGCGGGAACCCATGCTACTGGTATGCAAAAAACCCACTGGTAGTGTTTTTCCTAGTAGTGTTACTTATCTTAAAACTCTAGCCAAGGCCTACTCTTCTCCTATTATTAATGTTGAGGCTTGTACTACTAAATCTAGTAGTGATCTAGCATCTATTCTTGAGGAGAATCGCTTTCTCAAAGCTCAAATCGAGAAAGGTCTCATGACATGTGCTCAAGGACGAAAGAACCTTAATGAGGTGTCGAGTCAACACAATGAGGTGTTTGCCAAAGAGGGGCTCGGGTTTGACCCAAGCACAAGCAAGAAGAAGTCGTCTCTCAAAAGTGCGCAACACCTCTAAAGGAAACATTTGTACGAGAAGGGCACAAGGAGAAAGATAAGGTTGTTAGTGGGAACGCCATAAGGGGCATGCCCACTCTCAACAAGCCAAAAGAGTTGATGCCTCCATCCTAAGTACTTCATAAGACTAAGGATGGAGAAGTTTATGCACAATTTGTTGGTCCTCTAAATGCATTCTGATTCTATGCTATTTGGGTCCCCAAGACCCTTGTGACTAACTTGAGAGGTCCCACTGCAAAATGGGTGCCTCTAACCAAGTCATAATTGTGTGTAGGTTGCCTTCTCCGGGGAGTAAAATGGGTGATTGATAGTGGATGTACCAATCATATGACCAGAGATAGCAAATTGCTCTACGATTTCATGGAAGCTATTCAACCATTATGAGCATTATGTTTGGTGGAGGTTCAAAAGGATAGGTACTCGGGTCGGGCAAGGTGGCTATCACAAATGACATGTCTCTAGCAAATGTCATGCTTTTTCAATCCCTTAAATACCATTTGCTTTCCGTTCGCCAATTGGCTTCTGTTGGTTATGATACACTCTTTGGACTAACGGATGTGAAAGTCTTTAAGAGAGACACTCTCGAAGTGTCCTTTGTTGGAGAGTTGGATGGCAACCTTTACAAAGTTGATTTCTCGAAAAAGAGTACATTCCATGCAACTTGTCTAATGGCCAAGGCCGACAAGGGGTGGCTTTGGCATCGCCGGCTAGCCCATGTCGGCATAAGAAATCTTCAAGATCTCTTAAAGGGTAATCACATACTTGGAATAACCAATGTCTCTTTTGAGAAAGATCGTGTGTGTAGTGTATGCATAGCCGGGAAGCAACATCAATCAAAGCACCCACCCAAGAATATCGTATCTACTTCAAGACCTTTGGAGCTCCTTCATGTGGATCTTTTTGAGCCTCCTTCATGGGATATTCCTGGTGGGAAAAAGTATGGGCTTGTCATTGTTGATGATTACTCAAGGTATACATGGGTGTTTTTCCTCAAGTCCAAGGACGAGACGAAGATAACCTTCATTGATTTTTACAAGCAAGCACAACGCAAGTTTGACAAAGAAATCTTGGCAATAAGAAGTGATAATGGCCCTGAATTCAAGAGCTATATGTTGGAAGAATTTCTTAGTGATGAAGAGATTGAGCATCAATATTCAGCTCCATACACTCCTCAGCAAAATGGTGTAGCCGAAAGGAAGAACCGTACACTTGTGGAGATGGCAAGGTCCATGTTGGTTGAATACAAGTCGCCACATAGTTTTTGGGCCGAGGCTGTCAACACTGCATGCCATGCATCAAACCGGCTCTTCCTCCCCACTATATTGGAAAAGACTCCATATGAGCTCCTAACTGGGAACAAGCTAAATGTCAAGTACTTTCGTGTATTTGGATGCAAATGTTTCACCCTCAACAAACGAGAATGGTTAGGAAAATTTCAATCCAAAACAATTGAGGGCATATTTGTTGGCTATGGATCAAACTCTCACGCCTATAGAGTCTACAACAAATCCAATGGATGTGTTGTAGAAACTTGTGACGTGGTGTTTGATGAATTTAATGGCTCACATGGGGAGCAAGTTGATCTAAGTGATGTAGGTGAAGAAGATTCTTCTCAAGATATTTTGACCATGGGTGTTGGTGCACTTGTTCCAATGGAACAAGAACCTCATGATGATGAAGAAGATGGAAGCTTCACACATCATCAAACTACTTCAACACCCATACCACCACAAGCTCCTATTGCTCAACCAATGCTCTTAGTCCAAGTACAAGAAGACGATCAAGTCCCTCTTCATGATAATCTTCAAGAACAAGATCATCATCAAGGGCAAGAACTAGAAAGTGCAATCATTGATGATGAACCTCAACAAATGCAATATGAAGAAGAAGATCTTCCACCACACATTAATGATCCATACGTTGAGGACGTGGATGATTGACATAAATTTGAACCTTGAGAAACCCTAACCTCCATCATGCCTCGAGTGGCCGGTCGTGTTGATGTTGACAAAATTCTCACCGGCATATCGGAAGGTAGAGTCACTCGTAAACATTTGACAAACTTTTGTGCTCACTTCTCGTTTGTGTCAGTGTTGAGCCTCTCAAGGTAAAAGAGGCATTGATGGACAATGATTGGCTCGTTGCTATGCAAGAAGAGTTGAAGAATTTTGAACGCAACCAAGTGTGGTCATTAGTCGAGAGGCCAACTACGGAGCACAATGTCATTGGAACAAAATGGATTTTCAAGAACAAGCAAGATGAGAATGGTGTAATCATCCGTAACAAGGCAAGGTTAGTGGCACAAGGGTACTCACAAGTTGAAGGTTTGGACTTTGGTGAGACCTTTTGATGAGGACATCAATACCATTGTTACACCCACAGCCCCTGCTGCTATACATAATGGACCAATTACTAGAGCTCGCGCACGCCAACTAAATTACCAGGTACTTTCGTTTCTTGGTAATGATTCTAATGTTCATGAGAATATGATGCTGCCTAAATTGGATACATTTGTTTTGCTTACAAATGAAGGGCCTAGCTTGGAGAAGGATGAACATTGGAGCAAGAACAAGCATGGCGATGATGGCATGCGCAAGGAGAACAAGAACGGAGTTACAAGTGATGATTTCAGGACTTTGAAGCCACCATAATGGGTGCATGAAGCCTTGGACGAAATATACAAGATGCCACTTCATAAATTTCGTCTAGAGGCTATTCTAGGTGCTGGGTCACCTTATTATTGGGCCAGGCCCATGTAATTTTGAATACATAAGTATAGGATATTTTTAGAGTCCGTATGTGTGGGGAAACAAGAGATAGGGTTGATTTCGGACCCCTCCACCAAGGGCCACGAAATTCCCCCCCTCTTCCTTCATATATACAACCCTTAGTGATAGAGGCGGGGTGTCCCGATCTTTCAATGAGATGATAACTATCGATTTGGTGAAGATGACTTTGACGAACCAACTACAAACGTGCACGACGTTGCGCCTTAGCAATCGCTAAACCAACTCCGAGAGGTCATTGACCACGCCGGAGCACAATCAACCTGACCACGAAGGTCTATTCCTGCAAGCAATCGAAGAACAAGCAAGAATATGATAAAAGCAATCTGAATATTGTGAGTATATATGAAGTATTGATAAAGGTGGGGATCCGTAAGCGGTCTTGGTCTGGTCGTTGGACACAAACGAAGTACACGAAGTTATAATGGCTAACTTTTAACTAAACAAATCCCAAGGGAAAAGCTACTAGACGGATCTACTTATATAGGAGCAAGGGGTGGCGGCCTAGGAGGTGGGAGGACGTCCCAAGGCAGCCTAAAACTAACCCTAGGTCGTACAAGGCCAATGGGCCCAAGTGGAGGTGATGTAACACCTTTGGACTTGTTGTTTGACTCGGATTCTGCTGTAGCGTCTGATTGTTTCGTCGATATATCAACGCTCCGGACGAATTTGAAGGTGAGTCCAATTGGGCTGGAAAGAGCACAAAATCTAGAATCCAACAAAAAAAAGAATCACCCAATTCAGAGTCCGTATGAAAAAGTTGTTGGCGTTTTGAATCAGGTATGTCTGTGCAATCCGAATCTGAATCCAGAACGTGAGAGACTTGGACTCTATCTTCTCTTGGCCCAAAAGTGACGTGAGAGAACTTTTTGAACAGCACTTAAACATCTCTTTCTCCCTTATCTTCAAATGTGAATTGTACAAATATCCCATACACCTGCAATTAGACA